ATGCTGCTGCCAGAATTTAAAATGCTCTGCCGCTCCGCTGCCTTTGGCTGTCATCTCATCACGGTTTAATTCACTCCACCTCCACTCCACCTCCTCCTGCGTTAATTCTCCTCCTCACAGGGAGATCCGACTCCACCAGAAGGATTTTTAGTTTAATGGTTGACTCTCTGATTTTTCATATTTACGATTAATCACCGCAAATATGTAACGTCACACTCAGATATTTTCCATGCAAACGCATCGAGAACCTTTTCAAAACATTGTCAGCTCTTACCATCGGGTTTTGGAATCAGAGAGCAGATGTTTTCTCCCCGTTGGGCTCTTATCTTTCTGTGTATCCACTCACACAATACAGAGGAAAACTTCTTTGCTCAAGTTGCAGCACTCGGAATAGGAACAAGCAAATAAACACAAGTAACTCGAAAGCATCTCTGACACGGTACATAACCAGAGGATGTTCCTGTGGGCGACTGAAAACTTCGTGAGTTCAGACTCTTTACAAAAGGAAATGTGAAGGAACCTGCTTTTAAAATGGATCCAAGAACAAGAACACGCCGGTTCTGTTCTCATTGTGATCTGTTTCTGTAAAGTTTTTTTTACAGTTTGGTGCTGAACTAAACCCACAGACTGTAATAAAGATGGACGACATCGTTCCTGGCTTCATTTCTGGACAGTGGAGACACGTCATCCATCTTTATTTACAGTCTACCACTAAAACATTTAAAGTCATGTGAGTGGAGTGGAGCCTGAAACTAGTCGAACCTGGAAGTGTTCTTACAGCTTGAAATCAAGTGGACACATTTCCCATCATGCACCAGGTGTGAGGAACGAGGGAGCAGCAACCCTGGGTGTGAAAGTTTTATTTTTCTGTGATTGTTTTGTTTTATCTGTTTTATTTCGGTTTTAAAGGCACCGTGAAAATCTCTTTATTATTATTATTATTATAGTTTTACCATCACACTACAAAGAATTCTAGATTATTTCTTTAATGGTCTCAGAGTTGTGGCCTGTATTTATACAGAGTTCTCTGAAGGTGGAGCCATCATCAAATTGCTGATTTCACGCAACTACTTCAGTTACTTGTGGTTTGTGTAACACCGTCATCGCCCGTGAGGAGAAACTTCCAAAACGGTGGGCTGTTATCTCCAATTGTATGATTGGTCACGTTGAGACGAGAAAAACAGGCGCAGGAGAAGAGTTCTCGGAGAGACATTTGATGTTAAAAGTTAAAACGGAATGGAACAAGCTTCACAATCAATTTAACAAGGACTTCAACAAAGAAAGGAAACTGAGGAAAGGGAAAAGAGCTGGAGAGGAGAACAACCAGCTCTGGTAAAAAGAACGACCTGTCTTCTCTGTGACGTCAGGCTTTTCTCCCTCACCTTCGAATGTGGCCGTTTAATTCTGGTCCACACAGTTTTTTATTCTCCTTTCAGCTGAACACAGAAGTGTTGAAGCGTCCAGGAACCTGCACGGCTCCTGCGGAGTGGAAAGAAAAGCCATAAGTAACATATAGAGGAAACTTAATGGACGTCGGTTAATGGCTTAACACTGAAGCACACGGGGTCCGCTGGTTAATTGAATGTCTAAGAGGTTTGAGGTTGAAAGTCTTTTCACTTACGAGCACAAAGCTTGAAAAGAAAACTTCTAAGTGTGGAGATGGAAACACAATAGACAGGTTCCAAATGCAGAACTCATTCTTCTCCATGTTAGTGGAAGGAATATAGTGCAGGTCAAATAAGTGGTTTCTGTCATTTTAGGTCGTTCTTATGAAACTGATGTTTCTGATCAGTTTGGTTTGAATGAGTTATTTGATGATTATAAAAATGGGCTGGGACTGACATGGCTCCACCCACTGAAGGTGGGCCAAAGTGTTTTGATCGCCATCCAGTGGCTGGCCGCGGTGTAGCTCATAAATCCCGTCTACTCCATGTTAGCCAATGGGAAAAGATGGTTCACAGTGTGTCTGAATTAATTTTCTCTGTGAGGTTGCCTTAACTTAATATAATATATAACACAACATAACAGAACCATGAATAGAACAGTCCTGAAGAAGAAACATAAGTTTTACAGTTCCTGGTGGAATATCACAACAAAAGGACACGTGTTGAGTAATATATTTTTTACAAAATAACGTCAACTATTTTATCATCTGTCTTCATATATAAACATAAAACCTAATGAAAAATTCGTACTTGCTTCATCGGTATTAAACTGTGAGCACTTAATGTCCTTATTATGTTGTTTGTGTATTCATTTGTCTGGGGACGTATTTGCTTTCAGATTTCCATGTGAAGATTAGCAGTACAATAGCTACCTGTCACAGGGGAAACATTTTTAATGCAATTATCTTTGTGTTGTGGCAGCAGAGCCCCCGTCTCTGTTTGTCTAATTAATACTTTGTTTTGTGGGCTGTTAACAGCTAAATGTTCCTGCACTTAGAGTGTTGGCTGGAAATACCACAGCGTCAGAGGCTCTTGGATACAGACAATTAACGCCACAGTGCCTGTGTGATGTTTTTTTATTTATTAACACGGGAATATACTTGTGGTTTAAGACTCTCAAGTGAAATGTAGACATGCAGCCTCTGAGGTGAAGCGATAGTTTGGAAAGAGGAGCAGTGGTACTTGTTTAAAACAAACTCATTTTCAGTCAGAGGCAGAGATGCTGACGAGCAGAAGTTTGGTGATATTCAGGATGTCGCGTGTCAAATTTCAAACCAGGATTAAAAAGCACTTGAAGTTGGTTAACTCCAGGCTAGAGATTTGGAAGAAGGGATTAAAGGTTGATGCTCAGATTCTTCCTCAGGGTGAAAACGCTCAACACACGATGGGCAGGGAGTCACTTATTTAAACCCTGAATTACTGCGACTACTGCTGCAAAACATCTTTTCCATTTGTGTGCCAGTCGTCATTACTGCACAGTAGAGCCCAGCAGAAGAAGCTGGATACGATTCTTTCATGGCTGAATGAATCTATTATGAGGCACCAGGGTCAAAATATACTTTAAGGGCCCCTCGACCTCCTGAAATCAGTGCATGTACTCTGTCGTCTCACATTTCCATCAAGTCCAATGCACACAAATTACTGGAGAGTTTAATTGAACCATAGACAATGTGTCTCCACTTCCTCGACCAAACGCAAGACTTAAACAAACATCAGTGTGATCACAAATAACTAGAATGACAGACATGTTCTTAGAACTTTTACTGTGGTCCATGTCCAACTCGCTAACATGGAGGAGGTGGGGTTTATGATCTATTTTGATGCCGGCCACTAGAGGGTGATCAGGACGCTTCGGCTTCACTTTTGGGAGTCGCCATGTCGTCCATCTTTATCTCCAGTCTAAGGATCTTTATTTCAGAAAACTTTATTTTGACATAAGACTCCTCAAGAAGACAATTATATAAATAATTCTTGAGCCACGTTATTTTAGATAATGTGATTTAAAGATGTTCTTAAAACAGGCAATTAATCAAATGAGCAGAAACTAATTGATACACAGCGAACAGGAAGTATCAGGACAGATCAGCAGATGAGAGAAATAAAAACGAAGATGTCCTCCTCTGAAACATTCAATAAAGAAAACATGTTCTTGGACGTAAGTGGAAATTCATTTGAGCATCTTACTTTAGTTCGACTTAATCACACCCTGCAAAATCTTGAACACACATTTCTGCCGTGGACTCACAGCTGGACGTGACATTTCCCACATACTCTGGAAATACAACAGGATGCTAATTACTGAGCATTTAACTGTCGCGTCATTTAAAACCTGCTGGTCCCCCACGGTGCAAGAAAATAAAATCCCAGCGCCGACTTCTTACCGACTGTTTCTTGTCCATAGAATTTTCTGTAACCAAGCAACTGTAGGTGGACAATCGGCTTCCTGTTGACACAAGCATGAACACGTGATAAGTCACTTCAGGTGAGTCAGTACGGACGAAGATGTCTCCTGATGCAGAGCCATGGAGAGGATTTTAATGTCAGTGCATTTTGTTTTCCCAGCACGGTAAACTGGTGCATTTATAATAAAAACGAAAAACATCTGTCTCCGATCATCTGAGTTGATGTAAAATAAACCAAAGTGCAGCTGATAACCTTAAACCTCACCTCCAGTGTGGAGCACCATGCACTGGATGGCCCACATCCCCAGGAAAACCACATGTCCCATGATGCCTCGCTCCACTGCAGACCCGCCCCCCTTCGGTTGAATGGCAAGTTGTTTGTTTCACTGGGACCAGCTGCTAACTCTTCCAGCAGGAGAGCAAACATGGGGACCAACACTGGACAGATCCTGCAAGCTGCAGGCTGCTGCTCACAGACTCACTTCCACTGTCAGGGCTTCTCTTCAAAATAAAGGCACAGGGAGGGCGATGACACAGAATTCCTTTTAAAAATTAATTAAGGTGCAACTGCCGAGGTAATAAACCCCAAGAACAGATCTACTCAAACAACTCAATTGTATTTCTCCCATGACTTAACTCAGTTATACTTTTTAGAAAGTATTAGGACACTATAAAATTATAACTATAATAAAAAACTTTAAAAACTTGATTTAAAATGTCACCACATTCACCCTGGAAACATTTCACAACATGTATTCGCTAATGAAGTTGCACTAGATTTTACAGTATTTAATGTTACTGTTTTCACATCAACAGATTTTTGTAATGTTTTTAATTTGTCTCTATTTGCTCGGTTTTTAGAAAGTAAAGGTTTTTTCTCAAATTGCACGTAAATATTTTTTGCCTGCAAGTGTTTTAAAAATAAGAAGTTTTCTTGATTTGCATGTGTTTGATTCTTTTTGCACATGTTTTAAAAAAAAAGGACTTTTCCTAAAATGAACGTGTATTTTCTATTTGCATATTGTTTCTCGGTCTGAACGTGTTTTTTACATTTTGTCTCGATATGAACGTGTTTTTTTTATATTTGTTATATTTTGCCTTAAATCTCAGTGTGTTGAGCTCCCTCGGCCACCGTAGCTTTATTGTGAAAACCCCCTGCCCGGAAGCTGCCTTGTTTCCGTCGCAGCTTTGACAGCGGCTCAGTTCTTCTCCTTCACCTCTTTGCTTTTCTTTCTTCCTCCCTCTTTTCTCTCTCTCTCTCTCTCTCTCTCTCTTTCCAGCGCCTGCAGCCCGTGTGTGTGTGTGTGTTTGTGTGTGTGCGCTTGTGCGTGCGTGTGTATTTATTTATTTATTGATGCATCTCATGTCGGAGCCCCGAGCTCTCTGGTCTTAGTCGCTCCTTCCAATGAGAAGACGGAAAAGATGGAGCTGCACATTTTAGAGCACAGCCTGAAAGTGGCGAGCATAGAGAAGGAGGGGATCCAGGTCTGCACTCACGCTTTAATCAAACTCGCCTTCCTCGCCTCGCGGACACGGTACGTAACTTCCCACTGACATGTCTGCCTCTGCACCGCCTCCCCCCCCCCCCCCCCTCGCCGCACTTCGGGTCTGGTCCCTGAGCTCGGCCGTGGTTCACATCTCCGGTGAACTGACGCCGGAGGGTCGCGGGGACCTGTGTGTTCGTGCCGAGAGGTCTGCGGGGGTCGCTCGAGCCACGGCCGCGGTGCTGCGGTGGCGTTAACGCTTAAAACCGCGGGTTTTTTCAATGGAGTCTGGTTTTGGAGTGTGTCACCGGTCTCCAGGCCCATCCTTGTTTGTGTGTCTGTTGCTTTGTGTGTGTGTGTGTGTGCGTGAGAGTGTGCATGAATGTGTGTGTGTGTTCCTGTACTTATTTCTTTGTGAGGTCCATTTTAAGCTTAGACTCTGCAGAGTGAGGACATTTTGACCTGTCCTCATCTTTACAAGGGACCAGAGGGTTCAGACTTGGTTTTAGTGTTAGAATTAGATTTAGATGAGGGTTAGGGTTAGATTAGGGTTGTAGTTAGGGTGAGGGTTAGGGTTATAGTTAGATTAGGGTTATAGTTAGATTAGGGTTATAGCTAGGGTTAGATTAGGGTTAGGGTTATAGTCAGGGTGAGGGTTAGGGTTATAGTCAGGGTTAGGGTTATAGTTAGATTAGGGTTATAGCTAGGGTTAGATTAGGGTTATAGTCAGGGTGAGGGTTAGGGTTATAGTTAGATTAGGGTTATAGTCAGGGTTAGGTATTTAGTTTAGATGGTTTAGGTCAGGGTTAGGGTTACATCCTAATTATCCTAATGAGTGTCCTCACTAAGATAGAAGGAAACTTGTGTATGTGTGTGTGTGTGTGTATATACATCTATCTCAACCACGTCTGACGAACTTGTATCCTGCACAATAAAGTTCTTCACTGTTCTCTGCCTCAGGAAACTCTCAGTGAATTTGTCCGGGCAGAGACGAGACAACAGGCTTTTCCACTTGTTCTCTTTGGTCTAATCGTTAAAATCAGACAAAGTGAGTTCAGTCCACAAACACAGCGGCCTCTCGTCCTTCAGGTGTTTGACATGAGACGTCGACCCACCCGTGTTGTGTTTGTGTGATGGTTGTCTCCAGGTGATGCCAACAGCCAGGAGGGACTGGTGACCCTCACGTTCTTGATCATGACCCCACGCAGGTTAAATCCTCTGGGTCTCTACAAACCAAGTCCAGTTCCCTTCAGTCTAGTCTCCGAAAGCCAGATTTATTTTCCCAGCACTGTGTCAGCACATTGGTACTTCTATCGGTCAACAACGCTTTCTTCCTACCAATTAAATTTAACTTGAGTGGCGTTGAGGCCACGATCCAGTGACAGAGCCCGTGCAGAGTGATGTGGGAGTCTTTAGTGGAACACATGGACGTAAGATCAATTCCAGCTCGTCATGGGAACTTAGGAGAAGCTGTTTTCAGACGTGTACTGAAGTCTGGACGTTTAGCTCACCTGAAATTTACCCACGACACAAATGTCTAAATCAGTTTTCCTGACAAATTGTACGAAAGCCGTTCAGGAAATGTGTTTTTCTCTGCAGGAGAAACACTAAAGACTGTGATATTGAATCGTTGGCCTGATTACTGTCACTGTCTCCATGCTCATTTGTATTTATATAAGATTTGAATGGGGACGTAGCGTGCGCACAAGAGGATAATGATGCTAATACTACTATTGATAATAACAATCATAATTTAACAACATGAATAATAATGTATGATTCCAGCTTCCCATGTTTTTGATACTAAATGCCGTGGATGTATAAAGCTGTCACTCTCTTTATGATCATCGTGTTAACATATGAAGATATTTCCCTCATGACAATACATTTCAGAAAACTTGTTAATTGCATCAACAAATTTCAGCCTAAATTAGTTTTCTGTAGAAGTGCTTAGTTTGTAATTAGTTTTGAATTTTGCTGCTGCTGATGAACATAATTGTGGTTAACGTAATGAACTTTTCTAAACACTCCCTGTAAATGTTCCGTGATCTCCCCCTGACAAAGACTCACACACCGAATCTCTGCAGTGATTTTGCTGTTTCATTGTTCCTCTGGGTCGACTTTGTCAAAGTAAGTCATCGTGTATTGCTCATAATGACATGATCATGATTAGAGGAGTATTATCAGCCCGGGCACACACAAAAAAATCCAGTGCTCATCATCCCAATGTCCTTGCTTTACAAAAACACACTGAGAGTCAAAGTGACACTTGACAGCTCATTTAATTCCAAGAGAAAAAGCTGCTGTTCGCATCGAGAGCTTTGTCTTTCTGTTATTACCCCGTCGCTCTTCACACCTTTCAGCCAAATATGAAGTGCGAGCATTCAATGGCCCGGCCTGTGCAGAATGTGATTATCACAGGAGTGTTGTGCACGGTGTTTTTCCAGCGCACCGCTCTGCACTGTGCCTCAGAAAGTCGGCTGGACATGATGTCAAGCTGATTCCTTTAAAAAAAAAAAACAACATCCCAGACCGCCACAGAGCATTTTTCTCTTGGTAAATTAAATCTTGTCAAACAGCCTCAGACACACACACAACAGGAAACGGGTCTTAACAAAATGGATTCTGTCATTTGAGCAACGGTGGATGTGATTTAAAAATGTTCACTATATAAAGTCTCTATTGACATGACATTATACTTGTGTAATGGTGATTCACTGTTTATAAAGAATAACATCACATCTCGACGTCACTGAATCAAAAATGATGTTTCGCAAAAACAACTGAAAGGAAACTTGGTGTTAGGATGAAGGAAATAAATTCAAACTTTACTTTCTTCAACATTGTGAGATGTTTTTGAAAATCTTTAGCATTTTTCTATGAATAATTCGTAGTTTGGGACGATTAAATACTAATGTGTTTGGTGCAGCCTGGTTGAATAAGATGGGTCTGGTATTTGATGCTCTAACAACTCAACACAAATCGCTGCTGCACAGACTCTGGTTCCAAATGACGTCATCATCACAAGATGGCCGCACCTATATCAAAAAGAACTAACTTGAGATGCACATTTATGTTCTTTTAAATTCATATCATCTGACCTCCCTCCCTTTCAGATGCAAGTTCTTTAGCTTGACGGAGACTCCGGAGGACTACACCATCATCGTGGACGAGGAAGGCTTTAAAGGTGGGCCTCGCTCTGCGGATCTTTAACGTCACTGTGGCAACCATAGATCGGGGCGGCAGGAAAAGATCACATTGTGTAATCTCTGATTCTCTCCGGTTCCACGTATCTTCGGCTGCCAATGTTTGAGCACTCTTTGTCATTATGGATGTGAGGCAGAGCTGCTGCTCGCTGTGTTTTGTGGTTGGCTGAGTGAGTGAATCCATGTCATTACACACCCTTCTCCAGGGTGACCCTCCTCGGTTACCCTGGAGACTACAGGCTGTCTGTTGCGTAACTGGCTCAGGTATTTTCTACTGGTGGCTGGTGTGTGTGTTTTCTATTCAAACATTTATTAAAGTTTGAAAAGAAACTGAATATGGACGAGATATATAAATATATCTAGTCCAGTCTAGATATATTTATCTACATGTTTATAAGGCATGATTGAGGTACACTGAGTACAAGGCTATAGAATATTATTGAAAACTGAATTAGCTTTATAATCAGCTAACAATTATTTTCATTATTGATTATTGATTTCAGTCGATTAAACTTCTGAAAGTAAAGTTTCATTTAATCTTCAAACTACTAGAATCCACTGGTTTTCTACAGTTGAACTCACCAACGTTCATTATAAAAACAAATGTGTGTCACTGCCCCTGGGACCAAAGTACTTTGTGTGTTTTTACTTGAGTTATTCCAACATTAGCAGAAATCAGCTCTTCTCAAACTGTATTTGCTCGACTGTGAGACAGAAATGTAGAATCCACGTCGTCTCTTTTTGACTCGACTGTCTGTCCGTTCCCAGAACTGCCCCAGTCGGAGCACATCAGCGTCGCCGATGCCACGTGGTTGGCCCTTAATGTGGTGTCAGGGGGCGGCAACGCCTCCAACTCGCAACCCATCGGGGTCACCAAAATCGCCAAATCGGTCATCGCACCGCTGGCCGACCACAACATCTCTGTTTTCATGCTGTCGACGTATCAGACGGACTTCATCTTGGTGAGTGTGGATGATAATTATCCAGCACGGCTGTCGTGTCAGGATGATGTTTGCAAACTTCTTCAACATGAAATATAAATGCTTCGTGACACAACTCATCAGAAACGTGAACACTCTGACATCAGTTTGATAAGAACTACTTAAAATAACAGAAGATATCAGGAGATTGAATTTTCCATTTACTTTGGCTTTTTAGTTTGGCCCATATCCTGTCCACTAACATGGAGGAGCTGGGGTTCATGAGCTATATTACAGCCAGCCACCAGGGGGCCATTGAGATGCTTTGGCTTCTCTTTTGGGGGCCATCATGTCATCCATCTTTACATAATTCATTTTAAATTCAATTTAAACAGTAAAAAACAGAAGAGAAGATAAAAAAAAGACACTAAAACAGAATAAAAGCAGAGAATCCAAATCTAATTTCAGTTGTAATGGAAAGATCTTATGATGGCATCGAGTGTATTTCCTGTATGTTCAGTGAAAATCTGTGTAATGGATGAAAGGATCACATTTTCTTATCGCTGCTTCACAATAAAAGTCCCCCTGGTTTTCCCCGGTTGAATGCTTTTAATGTGAAGCTGTTGTTCAGCTGCAGGAGAGTAAACAGGTTCATAAACCAGCACATACATCGAGAGTTACTTCATTGTTAAAGTAAATATATTGAATGAAACAAATATTACTAGAGGGTTTTGTGTTGGCAGGTTAATCGTGGTCGAGGTTGAGAGGAAAAGCTTTAAAAGCCACATTATGTGTCTATTATACAACAACTGGCAACACAATTGTTTGTGTCCGAATGCCTGATGCGAAAAACCAATAACCTTGGAGCTAATGCACCTTCCTCCGCCCACTTCCTTTTGATTCAGGCAGAAATCCTCTCCCGTACCGAAGCATTCTTGCTACAGGGATTCTTTTTTTATTGCTTTGCTTTAGTGGAAAAACAAGGTTCTGCTGAACAGCTCTGGCATGTTTATGAAAATGAAAGAAGGAAGAAAAAAAAAAAAAAAACCCAGTGTGGACGCTGATAATCTGTTACATAAAGGGGATCAGCAGCTCAGCCTCTTTCTGGAATTCCAGGTATCATA